AGCATGACCGAAATCCAATATGCACGAATGTTACACACGATTTTTATATATGAAAATCATATAGAGAACTATACGTCATAAGGTAACACATTGAAGGACGGCAGGGTTTTATATGAAACTTTGCCAGTTTGTTCTTTTGTCGATATATAAATATAGTGTAGAGACCGATCTCGGTAATCCGAATGTTGCGTGACCTTTATTAGACGTATGTTTTTACTAGTAAACGGTTAGAAAGTAATGTAAATACACAAATAACTTGGAATTTTGTTACTTTTTAGTACTTCCTGCTTGTAAAAGTTCAAACAACAGTTCATGAAGATTCCAAGCATTCATAAAAAAAACGTATTACGAAGAAATTACTATAATTTTACGAAATAATTGGAATTCAGATAAGAAAAACCCTATTTATTGGTTTTTATTTATATTACCAAAAATTTATTTGGCTAATTTGTGCTTCTAATTTAGAGGAAATATCTAAACTCCCCTCTATTTCCTCGGGTTCTTCCTCCTCCTCTCTTTCAGCGTTTTCATTATCATCAACATCCTCTAATGTAAGTGTATCGGCACCTTTTTCGATTCGTTCCAAAAACTTTTTAACATGTTTAAAAATCCCTTTTTTATAGAATTCTTCGCAATAAGCACATTTTCCATTATGACATACTAAATGGTAACCATGACCACAGATAAGAACCATTCCATCTCTTTCGCTAAATGGACGTTTACAATGATCACACAAATTTGGCTTGGGTAAGTAAGATGTACTATAAGCGGTTGGTAAGCGTCGTAAATCCACATCTTCTCCTAAAGTAGCAAGGTGATAGATTTTTGGTTTTCGTTTCTTCACTTCCATCTTTGGGCCACTCTTTCCACAATTATGAAACAAATCTTGAAAGTAGTTTAAGAGAAAAAGGCTAGTTTTTTTATCCAAAAAATCAAGCGTAGGTAAAGTATAGGGATATCGTCGTGTCTTATGGTAATGATTTTTGAATGCTAAATTATGGTTCACTATATATTTAACAAATAAAATAGGTAAAATTAAAACCAAATAATAATAAAGCCATACAAATTTAATGTCTTGGTTTTCATAACATAAAACTTTTAAATATACCCGACTGGCCAGTATCTTTTTTTTTAAATTTTATATAAAGTTTTAAAATTTGACCAGTCGGGTTATGAAAACCAATAAATTAACTTTGCATTGCCTAATAATAAAGAAAGGCAACCGATTTACTAATAACATAGGCTTGTTTTATTATATTGTCTACTGTCGCATTTGGTGATGTATTTGCCCTAATTCGACTGTGAGTATTTTCTACATAATATTCGTTGAAGTATGGCAAATGCATTCGGATTGTATCAAAAAAGGGGTGATTGGTATCCTTCCAATAAAACACATCTGACAAGAAAGCCAAAGGTGCTTTATTGTAATTCTTTCGTTTCCAACGTAAAGCGAACGTCCATATGCGAAAAACTGTTTCGACATATTCGTCAAATAAACCTGATCGAAATAAATTTGCATAAATATCAAGCGTTGCCGGTACTATATTATCAAGTAAATCGATTGTAGTTCGATATTCTATATCTTTACATGTTCTTCCAAATTTTTCTATAATTTTGTCCCGAATTTTTATCCAACCATTTCGAGTGAGTTCTAAAATGAGGTTAATCCTCCATGGACGGGGCTTTTTTGCAAGCTTAGGCTTAAGGTTTTTTTTGGAACCAAAAACAAAGTAAAACAGTTTCTCAAAAAAAGAATAGTGCACTAAAAAAACATGTTCTCTACTGTTTAGAGATAAATGGAGTGGACCCAGAATTGGTAAGAACGGCTCAATTTCTCGTGGCGATGTCCTCATATATAGTGCTTTTCTAACAAATAATTGGCCGGGCCAATCAGCAATAAGCGGCGCAGCACAGTTGTCCAAATGTTGTGTTTTATTGTTGATAGATAAAATAAGTGTTAAGGCCTTGATATAATCCTGAACCGAGTGTAATCCTTGCTCATTAAATCCAACTAACTTAAGACCTTCCATCGATCGTTCCTCCTTC